TTATGCAACGGTATTATACATATGTGTACTGAGAAACTGCGTGATTGCCTGTGCTGGTTGCCATTTGCCCATACGATTATGTTGTTTACATGTGCTAATGCAGGTGGGCATGTGTGCTCAAGCATCAAGCCTCCTGTTTTAAAATTCTGGTCTAAAGAAGATTTGAAAAAATAAATAAGTTTCCTTGCAACTTAGATTTTCATGTCTATCTTAATTATTTCATCTAAATAGTTTAAGCTATGATTTGAAGTTATCATCAAAGAAAGGCTCAGTACATTTCAGATTTAGATGAAATTTGGCAATTTCACATTCAGATAAGCATTTTCAAATTTAAAAATCACTAATCTAGCTGTATCATTTTTATTAGGGTTTCCATTAAAGTATGTGTATCTGATACACTTCAGCTATATCAAAAATTTGGCCAGGCAAAACTGAAGCAATAGAGAAACAGGTGAAATAACTAGGGCTGTTGATTAACTGCAGTTAACTATCGCGATTAACTCAAAAATTAATTGTGATTAAAAATATTGATTGTGATTAATCACAGTTTTAATCACACTGTTAATACATTTCAATTAATATTCTATTGTTTAAATATTTTTGGATGATTTCCTACATTTTCAAATATTTTGATTTAATTACACAGACTACAAAGTGTACAGTGCTCACTTTATATTATTATTTTTATTACAAATATTTGCATTGTAAAAACGATAAAAGAAATAGTATTTTTCAATTTACCTCATATAGGTACTGTAGTGAAATCTCTTTATCGTGAAAGTGCAATTTACAAATGTAGATTTTTTTTTGATACGTAATTGCAATCCAAAACAAAAATAATGTAAAACTTTAGAGCCTACAAGTCCACTTAGTCCTACTTCTTGTTCAGCCAATCACTTGACAAACAAGTTAGTTTACATTTACAGGAGATAATGCTGCCTGCTTCTTATTTACGTCACCTGAAAGTGAGAACAGGTGTTTGCATGGCACTTTTGTAGCCGGCATTACGTGCTGGATATGCTAAACCAGGGGTCGGCAACGTTTGGCATGCGGCTCGCCAGGGTAAGCACCCTGGCAGGCCGGGCCAGTTTATTTACCTGCTGACGCGGCAGGTTCGGCCGATCACGGCCCTCACTCGCCGCAGTTCGCCGTCCTGGGCCAATGGGGGCGGCGAGAAGTGGCGTGGGCGAGGGATGTGCTGGCCGTGGCTTCCCGCCACCCCCATTGGCCCGGGACGGCGAACCGCGGCCAGTGGGGGCCACGGTTCGGCCGAACCTGCCACGTCAGCAGGTAAATAAACTGGCCCGGCCCGCCAGGGTGCTTACCCTGGTGAGCTGCGTGCCAAACGTTGCCAACCCCTGTGCTAAACATTCGTATGCCTCTGCATGCTTCGGCCACCATTCCAGAGGACATGTTTCCATGCTGACTATGCTTGTTAAAAAAATAATGCATTAATTAAATTTATGACTGAACTCCTTGGGGGAGAATTGTATGTTTCCTGCTGTTTTACCTATATTCTGACACTTATTTCATGTTATAACAGTCTCAGATGATGACCCAGCACATGTTGTTCATTTTAAGAACACTTTCACAGCAGATTTGACAAAATGCAAAGAAGGTACCAATGTGATATTTCTAAAGATAGCTACAGCACTTGACCCAAGGTTTAAGAATCTGAAGTACCTTCCAAAATTTGAGAGGGACAAAGTGTGGAGCATGCTTTCAGAAGTCTTAAAAGCGCAACACTCTGATGCGGAAACTACAGAACCTGAACCACCAAAAAGGAAAATCAACCTTCTGCTGGTGGCATCTGACTCAGATGATGAAAATTAACATGCATCAGTCCACACTGCTTTGGATCGTTACCTAGAAGAACCCATCATCAGCATGGATGTATTTCCTTGGAATGGTGGTTGAAGCATGAAGGGACATAGGAATCTTTAGCATATCAGGCATGTAAATATCTTGCGATGCTGGCTATAACAGTGCCATACGAATGCTTGTTCTCACTTTCAGTTGACATTGTAAACGAGAAGTGGGTAGCATTATCTCCTGCAATGTAAACAAACCTGTTTGTCCGAGTGATTGGCTGTACAAGAAGTAGAACTGAATGGACTTTCTAGGCTCTAAAGTTTTACATTGTTTTATTTTTGAATGAAGTTATTTTTTGCACATAATTCTATATTAGTAAGTTCAACTTTCATGATAAAGAGATTGCACTTCAGTATTTGTATTACGTGAATTGAAAAATACTACACCTCTACCCCGATAGAATGCGACCCGATATAACACGAATTCTGATATAACGCGGTAAAGCAGCAGGGAGCCCCGGGCCCTTTAAAGCGCCACCCGAGCCCGGCTGCTTTACCTTGTTATATCCGAATTCATGTGGAGCCCCGGGCCCTTTAAATCCCCACCCGAGCCCCGCTGCCAGAGCTCCGGCGGTGATTTAAAGGGACCAGGGCTCCCCACAGCAGCTCCCCACAGCAGCCCCTCTGGGGCTCTGGCAGTCGGGCTCGGATGGTGATTTAAAGGGCCAGAGGCTCCAGCCGCTGTGGGGAGCTCCAGGCCCTTTAAAACCCCACCCGAGCCCCGCTGCCAGAGCTCCAGTGATGATTGAAAGGGTCCGGAGCTCCCCGCAGCAGCTGGAGCACCGGGACCTTTAAATCACCGCTGAGGAAGCCGGTCCAGTCCGGCACAGTGAGAAGGTGAGATTTTTTGGCTCCTGAGGACTGCGTTATATCGGGCTAGAGGTGTATTTCTTTTGTTTTTTTACAATGCAAATATTTGTAATAAAAAATAAATTGAGCAATGTACACTTCATATTCTCTATTGTAATTGAAATAAAAATATTTGAAAATGTAGAAAACATCCAAAAATATTTAAATAAGTGGTTTTCTATAATTGTTTAACAGTGTGATTAATCGTGCGATAAATCATGATAATTTTTTTTAATTGCTTGACAGCCCGAGAAATAACAGATTATAAATTTTCACTGTTTTTTTTTTTTTTACATAAAACTATGTCCTGCTTCATTGATTACCTCCAGTTGATAATGTCCTGATCTGAAAAAGGAGGATGCTGTTATCTGGATACATTTTTTTAAGACTGGCTAAACAAGAAGTTAAATAGCCATTATTAAATTTAACATTGTCCCTAGATTCTGATGGAATAAAAGATATTTAATTATCACTGTAATATAGGAATATATCAAACAGCTTCTTTCCAAATATACAAGAGAAATATTTATTGAATACTTCTGCCTTTTCTGCATCATGATGCATAATTTTATCATCCTTGAGTGTTATTCAGACCTGTAATAATGCTAGGCTTTAATTTATTCTTGATCTATTTAAAAAATTATTTCTTATTGCCCTTAACCTTACTGGCTGAAAAAAAATATATTGATACCTTTGGTCTCATTTTTGCATTTCCTAACTCCTAGTTTGTATTCATTGCTATCAGCTTCCCCACTTTTTAATTTGTTTTCTGTATATTAGTTTTTACTGCTGCCTTTATCTCCGCTCTTAATCAGGACTTTTTTAACCAAAGAAACCCTCTTTCATGGTAGCAGAATAGTGGGTTTTTCTGAGCATCTAATAAAGAAGTCACAATTCCCAATTGGCATTCAAATGTTTATGTTCAAATATTGTCTCTTATTCAATTCTGTTCAGTTGTTTTTAGCTTTGGAAAATTGGCCTTTTTAAAGCAGCATGTAGATTTTTACTTCTGTATAGCTACTGTATATTTGTTACGCCTTCTAAGGTAGTGATCTTATAGGCCATTTTGATCATCTAATCCAACTTCCAGCATAATGCAGCTCATAGAATTTCACAAAGTAAATCCTGTGCTGTGTACCTTGGAAGGCTGGGTATATGGTAGACATGGAGCAACAGATCACCCAGTGCATACAAATAAATAAAATTTCTAGCTATATGTTTGGTAAAACAGCCATTACTTTGGACCTGATCGTGAGAGATGCTAAGTACTATGGCTTCCTGCTAACTTAAGTGAGATTTGCAGGTGTCAGTGTTTGTCAGGTGATATGGAAGTATATGTAATGGTAGTTACTCTGTGTGTGTGTGTGTGTGTGTGTGTGTGTGTGTGTGTGTGTGTGTGTGTGTGTGTGTGTTCAGAAATCATTTTAAATAGAGTTGGAACAGACTTAAGACATCTCATCCCCATGGCATATCAGGAATTTCCACAGTTCTGTTCTCAAGTGTTTTATCTGCCCTGTAAACTAAAGTGATAACTTAGTTAAACTTCTCGATGCTTGCTATTATATATATATATATATATACATACAGTAAACAAATATAGGGCTGTCTGTCTGTCTTTGTCCAAACTTTTCACTTTGACTCTTTCCTGGTCACCCTTTCTGTCTATTTTCTGCCTGCCTTACTACCAACTAAATTTGAAGCTGTGTCTCAACATCTCCCCAGTAAATTTGAGCCAAAGGAGCTTTTTGGACACTACTCTTTCTCCTAGCTTCCTTCTCAACTCAGACTTTCCGTTTCTGTCCATGGTTCGTAATGTTGATGACTTCCTTGATTTACTAGAGCTTCCCTTTTCATCTCTCTCACCTCTCATATTTGTAAATCTGCTTATCACCACTTTCAAAATACCGTGACTACCTTGACCCCAGCTTTTCTGACATCCTTATACATGCCTTTGTCTCTTTTTGCCTCAAGTGCAACTTTTTCTGTGGCCTTCCCAAGACTCAGCTCTGACTCCAATCTCTAAAGAATGCTTCTACAGCTATTCAAAAAGATAGCATCGCCCCAGAATCAAATAACTCCATTGTCTTCCATCCACAAACAGCTCCATCAGATCTCCGTTCCATAGCCCTTTCTAGAGTTCTTTATTCCTGGTTTTTTTCCTTCTTCAGAGATAAGACTTGAAGACCTGAATTCCTTGGGTCCATTATTGATAGGCTGTTTTGATTCCCTGTTCTGAACACAAACAGCATTTTATGATAACTCTCTCTTTTTCCTTCATAGATCCAGGTTTGCACAGACAGCAATTTTTCCTGCAGAGACCGTCAAATGTGGTAGCCCTTGAGGGAAAAGATGCCGTTCTTGAGTGTTGTGTTTCCGGGTTTCCCACACCCACCTTCACATGGATGCGAGGAGATGAAATTATTCCTGTCAGGTATGTCATACACGTCTCTTATGTAATGAAAGTTCGTTTCCCAGGGTGAAGTAAGGGTAAAACATTAACTACCATGTTAAGTCTTGTCAGTTTGGTTCAGCTTTGAGGAGATCAGGCTTTCATTTTAAGTGATAATAAGACTGCATGTGCACATGAAACTCCTGTTTTCTTTATTTGCAGCTGTGCCATGCACATCTGAGGGCAGAATTTGGCCATAAATGTCTTCTTTTATGAAATGCTATTTAAATCAGGTAGAGCAGAATTCGAAAGTTAATTATCACATTTAATAACAACATTAGAAGATCAGAACTAGCCAGCTGAGAAGGCTCTATGCAGTACCTTAGATCTTGAGTACTTTTCATTGGAGATGAATGTGAACATGGATTTTTTTTTTTTTTTTTTGGTCAATGTTACAGATCCAAAAAATATTCATTATTGGCTGGCAGTAACTTACTTATTTTTAATGTGACTGATGACGATTCTGGGACATACACTTGCATTGTCAGCTACAAGAATGAGAACAGTAGTGCCTCTGCAGAGCTCACAGTTATGGGTGAGTACAGATTTCCAAACTCTGTGCAAGAGGAGTCCTTTGCTTTCCCAAGAATGTTGATAACCATTAGCGCTTATATAACTCCTTCCTCTGAGGGTCTCCATGTACTTATCTGTAAACTGGTGGGGTTCCCACCTTACTTTGAACAGGATTTTCACTCACCGATAAACGGTATATACACATAATCAATATACCTCATGGAAGGACATCAAACAGCAGAGTAAAACGTCTTACGATGTCTCTGGTTAATAATCTAATTGCTAGTAGAATATTTGTTGGTGTGAAATCCCAATTTGCTCAATTCAGTTAACTGTTTTTTCTTATTTATGGCATCATAAATGGATACAATGGTGATCTGCAATCTTATTTTAGCAAGTTGTGCATAACTATAGTATTGCTTACTGAAATTGTTTTACTGTTTTCTCTTTATCTTATGACTCCACAGCCTTGCTTTCGCATCAGGTATTATGTGCCTATGTTCTTGCTTTTAGTGGAAAGCATGAATAAGCAATGATGCAGTGAGGATTTCCTGTGTTACCTAGGGTGACCAGATAGAAAGTGAAAAATCAGGATAGGGAGTGGGGCATAATAGGTCAATATAAGAACCCCTCCCCCCCCCGAATATCAGGGCTGTCCCTATAAAATCAGGACATCTGGTCACCCTGGTGTTACCTTCTACATAAAAATGTTTTCTCCTTTGTTTCAGATGATAGGTTTACTGGCTAACTAACAAAATATGTTGTCTGAGAAACATGTGGAAAGATGTCTTAGAAATTTTGAAACAGGCTTTTTTCCCCTATTGTGTCAAATTTTAATAGAACCAGAATTATATTAAATTCTGAGAGGTGTTTTTTTTTTAATCGGAGAATAATACCAAGCTACATTAGCATTATTCAATAAGATTTAAGAAACTACACAGATAATACTTTGTCAAACAATAGCATAATTTCAATGTGCTGTTCATTTTGCATTTTGGTTTTAAAGCTTATGCATAAAAATACTTCCATTAGAGAACAGAGCCCAAAGTTGGATTATAGGATATTCAATGCTTGTATAACAATATCCTTTTATCAAGTCATAATGCAATGTTATAGTAATTGCACATGATGGAAACTTTCATTCTATTGCTTTAGGAACATTAATACAATACAATGTTTTATTGGCTACATTTTGAAAATTAAAAAATGACTTTATAATTGCAAAAGTTCACTTTAACTATTTATTGTAAACCTATGTTTCCAATCTGCAAAGAATCAAATGCAGAAATGGAAGATAACTTCTGGTATAAAATGCTTTAGCTTTGTTGAAAGATGCTCATTGGAAACCAACAATGAAATTATACAGAACTGTAGCTATTTGTGGATTGAGAAACACCTATCGATTATGTAAATCTTATTTTTTTTCTCACCTATAGTAGATTATAGGATCCTGTGGCATGGGCCAAGGCTGAAATTTCAATGCTCTGTAGAGGATTTGGCTATCCAGTGACCATGAAAATTAATAGAAATTTCACATCCAAATCCTTTCGGGACTTGAAAATCTCAGCCCATATCTTTATTCTCTGTAATGCACTTAACTGTGGCTTGACTATGACTCTATATAAATATATAATAACGTTATGTTAAAAATGAATTATATAGAAATTATCAGAGGGGTAGCGGTGTTAGTCTGGATCTGTAAAAAGCAACAGAGAGTCCTGTGGCACCTTTAAGACTAACAGATATATTGGAGCATAAGCTTTCATGGGTGAATACCCACTTCATCAGTGTCTGATGAAGTCTTAAAGGTGCCACAGGACTCTCTGTTGCTTTATATAGAAATTAAGTTTGTATTTATTTTCATGCTTATACAGAGAGAAATATGTAACAGAGAGTGTAATACAATTTTGGGGACAAACTTGGATTCAGATACTTCAGTGATAATGGTCATATATGAATGGTAGAAGAGAGGTTTCAAAAGGTGGCACTTGTTACTTATTGAGCACCACAGTTTGACTGGGACTGTACCAACATAAAGGATAGCACAATGGCTGACACAGTGAAAATGAAATCTAAATTTGACAAAGAAACATGCAAGTGCATACAAAATACGTAATAAAAATGCATAATACAAACATTGTACATGCAAAACAATCAATTGTATATACAAAGTAAAGTGTTCTTTTTTTTTTTTTTTTTTTGCATAAGTGTCTAATCACATAAGCTAATGAAATATGGGTGTAAGTTTTGGAGATACAATTTTGATAACCTTTAAAAGTTTGGTCATTTATTTTCATAAGCATGTAGGGTGGCAGATTTAAATTAACACCATGTATCATATTGCTTAGCAACAGGTATTATGTTTGTATTGCTATAGTGAATATGTAAAAGATCCAACAAAAACTACACACCTACTAATGGAGGGCAATAGAAATCCCCATATATCTTTATTTTCATAAAAATTGGACATATATATTTGTTAAATTCATCTCCATAAGTAGGAAACTCTCTGAGACGTTTCCTGGAGTTACTCATACCATTAGCCTAATTTATAGACATGTAATAATTAATTGATGGTTTTATTCATTTCCCATTGGTAGGGTATAAATCCGTATATTTTCTTCAAAAAAAAATTGGGTTATTTATCAAACAAAACCTGTGAATTGCAAATGCATATTTAGTTGTAAAGCATCCATTGTTTATTAGAAAGATAATTGCTTTCATGTAAACAGTTTGTGTAAGAGTATGTTCTGGAGAGAAGGGCAGGCAAAGCATTTTACATGTGTCAGCTAAAAAATTAAACACTCCAATAATTAAATCTTTCCTGACGGCTATGTGAGTGGGCCAATACTACATCAAAGTTAGTTGCATCACATGATAGGGTGATAGCTTCATTATTTAAAAGATAAGACTATCTGGCAGGAAAACGAATGTCTTTCACTGGGAAGATCCTATGTATCATTTCTTTTGTGGATCTTAAAACAACCCCTCACCTGTGCTGGCCATAATGCTAAAAATGAGGAGAGGAATGGAGTTGCTGGAAAGGCTAAATAATATCTGTTGCTAAATTTTTGACTTCGAGTATTTCATGTACAAATCCTTTTTGGCAGGATGTTAGTCATGTCTCCTTGTGCAGTAGAAAGTTTAAAAGTCCAATAAATATTACCTTCTCGCTTTATAAATCAGCTGCATGCTTGGCAATGATTTTAAAGGACTAGGCTAAGTAAAAACAAATGTTTAATGATGACAATCACTGGCAAGATGACTGCTATGGTTAGGTATGCTAATGAGTGTCTATTATAACTCCTTCTTTCTAGATCTTAAGCTTTCAGAAGCATTCATCTTTTGGGGTTGGAATTTTTCCTGTTTGGTCTTTGGGAGGTGAATTTAAAGTTTGAACAAAATCTCTTTAGCCATTTCTGTATGGAAGATCGGGCCTGAGATGCACTGGATTATAGCACTGATCAAGCAAAGATCTTTACTCCTGCATGGAATCCCATTGATTTCAGCACAGTGTTGTGCTGGAGCGAGAGTCAGGGTTTCCAGATCCAGTCGCTGGATTGGAGCTTAATTTTGCAAAACTGACTTTTGCAAGCATTTATTGTAATGAATGCATATCCCTGACAGTCTCTAAATTCTATCAATTCCAATGGCAAACGTAATGTGACTGCCAGATTTCAAATAACATAGAGTTAGAATTGTGCCTGTCATGTCCAAAAAGATGTACATAGCCTTTTGAGGATAAAGAAGAGTTTTCATCAAATAAACAATTGCAAATAAACGTGACACATTTTCAGGTTCATAATAAAATTGCACTTGGATCTCAAAGCTACTTTTAATTTGGTTGAGATTACTGTACATAACATAATTGTTGTTCTCTCTTTCTGTGATTTAAAGATCCTGTAAATGTCCCCTGAGGAGCAATACAGAAGTGAATAGTTTCACAGCACTGCTAGGTCAGCAGACTGGGTTTGCGTGGTTTCAGGTCACTGACTAGAGAGAGACTGCCAACAAAAGCAGAAGACTGGGTCCAAAAGGTGGTGTTGGCAGAAAAACATTGTTCCTAGCTTTTACAAAGCAAGTTATATGTAATCTATAAAGAGACAACTTAGAAAAGGCTTCCAAACTGCAGCCAGGGAAACAAGCAATTTTTACTATTGAGTTTTTAGGATCAACTGTTTTTTGCATCAGTTTTATTTTCCAGCAAGAAAGATGAGCCTCCATGGTGTTATGAGCCAGGTCTCCAACAAGTCTAGTTTAGTTTGCCAAGACCAACAGGTCAATCCAATCCAATTGGTCAATCCAATCTTTCTTGTTTGGTTTTATTTCCACTCCACAACATCCATTGCCAGAATATGTGTGCACAGATCAAATGAATGAAAAATACTGACTGATGGAGGCCTGGAGCATGTTTCTGTGTGTGAATAATTTAGGAACAGAGTAAATGTTAGGGGAAAAGCCCTATGTTGAAAAAACATCGTTTGACATGCCTAGGAACACAAGCTATATTAAGGCTATAGAAGCATCTTTTAAACTTATCCTGCTGGGCACAAATCTTGAACCATTTATATAAGAAGGATTCAGTCTACTTTGGATGTGAAAAATATGTCCAAGGATATACCATATTACTAACATCAATGGTAAAATAGTTCCCACAATGTAAAAGATCATTCACTGTTCTTAAATCCCCGACACAGAAACGTTCTGGGGTAGATCTTCAACTGGTAGAAATTGTAATAATTCCATTGAAGTTGCTGGAGTGATGACAATTTACACCAGTTGAGGATCTGTCCCTCTTTACCTATGCTTGATAAGGGGGAGTTAAGGATCCCACATCAGTCTGTTCTGCTAATATCTTTGAATGTCCTGTGTGTGGCCAATAGCTAACCCCACAGCAGCTAGCTGAAGTAGATTGTTCAGTCAGTTGTTTTATTCTGAATGTCAAACACGGTTGAAGCTGTTTACTTATTCTCTAACTGAATCTATCACTCTATCTGGAACATTGTATGTTTATGTATATGA